CTGCATATTTATACCTGCCTCTGGAAATTTCCACTATGTGCATCTGACCAAGTGGGTCTTTGCCCAGGAAAGCTTATGCTCCAACACATCTGTTAGTCTATAAGGTGCAACAGGACTCCTTGTCGCTTTTGTGTTCCATTGATTATCCTCATTTCACCAAGTTTCTGTGATGCTTATTTTATAGGCGCTTCAGAGGGGTAGTCAAGTTTAATCTGTAACTGGAAAAACTAAAAAACAACATAGTCTAGCAGCACCTTTAAAGACTAACAAAACATGTAACTGGTATGAGCTTTCGTGGGCATAACCCACTACTTCAGATGACTGGAGTATTAAAAGTCTAAATCCAAGAATAAATAAGGGAAGGTCGGAAAAGGGGGGGGGAGAAATAGATTGTTCAAGTTACAAGAGGCTGATAAGCACAATTTTTGCCTTAAGTACCCATTGGTTGGTTGGTTAAGCCATTAGGATGTGGAAGGTAGTATATTAGCCAGCCAATGCCTTTATTCATTCTCTCTGATAGGAACCAAGTTCCAACCCTTCCCTGTGTTTTTGGCTTGTAGAATTGGCCTGAAACAGAGTGACTTTGAGATCCATTAATGAGTGCCTGGGCAGGTTAAAGTGTTCTCCAAGTGGTTTTTGTTTGTTGCCTTTTTGGATATCTGATTTGTGTCCATTAATTCTTTCCCATAGACTGTCCAGTTTGGCCAATATACATGGGGGAGGAGCATTGCTGGCATTTGATAGCATAGATCACATTAGTGGATGTGCAGTTAAATGTGCTCCTGATGTAGTGGCTGATGTGGTTGGCTCCAGTGATGAAATTGCTCGTGTAGATGTGTGGGCAGAGTTGGCACCAGGGCTGATTGCAGGGGTGGGTTCTTGGATGATTATGATGGAGATGTGCTGCGTGGTTACTGGAAAGAATTTGTTTGAGGTTAGGGGTTATCTGTAGGCAAGGATTGGCCTTTCCAAGGCCTGTGAGTGAGGGATCATTTTCCAGGATAGGTGGTAAATAGTTGATGATGCGTTGGAGGGGTTTAATTTGTGGACTATAGGTAATGACAAGTGGAATTCTGTTTTCTCTTCTTGGCCTGTGTGGAAGTGTTTGTCTGAGTACTGTTCTGGCTCTGATCTATTTTTTCATTTCTCCGGGTGGGTATTTCAGTGTTACAAATGATCTATATAGATCTTCACCTATCTAATTGTTTAGACTTAAAACATTAGTATAAAAGCTCTTTAAAAAGTGTCACTTTTTAGCCAACTGCCATTAAATGAAGAGGTTGCCGTGTGTGTGTGTGGTGGGGGGGTGTATTTAATTTTGGTTAGTGTTAGATACAGTCTGGCATTCACTATATAAATTGTTTTGTTTGGCACTATTTAGAACATTCCAGATCTCTAAACTGGTTCCACAATCAAGTGCTTGTTTAACTGTAGCATCTCTGGCAGACATTGCTGGGGATTAGGTTTGGTTTTTATTTTTTTAAATTAAGGCATGTAAATTAGAATGCTGATTTTCAGTGAGTTTCAACCCAGCCATCTCTTCTGTGCATTTTTTTATAGGTACACCTGCATGAGTGGTGCTGTGCATTAATACTTGTGCATAAGACTCCTTTTCATACTGTTATATCATGTGCTCTTGCCTCTAATAATTTGATCCACACAAAGTGTTTTTTATTAAATAGCAGTTTTGACCTTAAAAAAATTGTTCTGAAAATCTGAGTTCTGCCGCTTTTTGTTCTGCCGCTTTTTGTAATACTAATTAAGCTTTACTTTCTGATTCTTATCCTTGCAAGATTTCAGAGTTGAAAGCTTAACAGCAACAAAAGCCTCACTTAGAAAGTTTCTTTTTAATTGGCCTCAATTGAATTGACTCTAGTATGCAGATCCCTCATCTGTACAGAGCTGCATTGACTTCAGTGGGGCCTGGAATGAAAACCAGTTACAAGAGTGAGTATTTGTAAATCACAGAAAGCTGCCTTCACATGGAACAGTTGCTTGTGGAATGCTCTTCTTCTCAGCCAGCTCTACCTGTTCTGTCAGAGCTGGTATATCTGCTTCCAAGTACTGGTCCAGCTTCAGCTGTATAGAACAGTGAAGGAAGCATGTGCCCCCTCCTCTCCTTCCCCAAAAAATCTGCTAGTTAATACCTGGCGTCAGGGAATTAACCCTGCTGATGAACTACTTCTCCTCCTCTCCCCCCCCCCTTATTTTTGACGCCCTTCTTGTATTGTCCCAGACACAACAATTGAATCAGAAATGGAGATCCATGTGATGATCAATCAGTTTGCCACACTCACTGGTTCGGAAATCAACAAAAACTGACTCAGGGTACATCTACAGTTGCTCCCTAGTTCGAACTAGGGATGCAAATATAGGTGACCGAAATTGCTAATGAAGTGGGGATTTAAATATCCCGTGCTTTATTAGCATGATCTCGCTGGTGCGTTACTCTGCTCAACAGCTGTTTCGAAAGTGAAAATGCACACTGGGAAGCGTTGGTTTGAACTAATGTTACTCTTTTTTTGAGGAGTAACGTTAGTTTGAACCAAGGGGTTTCGTTTGAACTAATGCGTCCCGGCGCGCACTTTCACTTTCAAAACAGCTGTTGAGCAGAGTAACGTGCCGACGAGACCATGCTAATGAAGCGCAGGCTATTTAAATCCCCGCTTCATTAGCAATGTCAGTTGCCTACATTTGCATCCCTAGTTCGAACTAGGGAGCAACTGTAGATGTACCCCCAGAGACCTCTTTTTGGTGCCTCTTGGTTAGCTGTATCTATAAACCATGTACCAAAGTACATGCAAACAAATAAAATAAGCACTGTTTGTGGTAGGAAAAAGTTTCAAAACCGTTCTCTTGCTACTAACAATAGCTTCCCCTAGGGTAAACAAGGCTAAGTGCCCTAGTGTAGATGGACTGATTGATAGCTACCACATGTGTTGTAAGCTCTGAGTGATCTAATTCATATAACTGGGCCTAAAATAGTAGTGACTGCCTATACTAGCAGAGATGGAGCAAAACAGGTACAAAAAATGAAACTTTTTTTGAAAATGTTAGTGTAGATCATGCTGTGCAGTGAATAGGCTTGATTTTTAAGAGTTGCTTAAGCTGACACCCCAACTATCTGGAGAAACTGCCCTATTTTTATAGATCCCATGATTAGTAACGAAGTATTGCTGCCTTTTGCCTATCATGTTCTAAAGGGATCTTGCTGTCATCCTCAAATCTGGAATTGACAAAAGAGCTCTTTTGGCCTCTAGCTTCCCCTTAGCCCTCTTGTTGCACTGCTGATGCCAACACTATTTCTCTTTAGTAGATAAAATGTGTGTGACTTCCACAAAACACATTTTGGGGAGTTCCAAAGGGTCTGTGCCATCTGTCACTGGGACACTGTATGGTTAGGAGGCTTTGAAAGGAGAACTCAAGTTTGATCATTAGCATGTCTGTGATTGTCACATCTTTATATGCAATTTTAATTCTTTTATGTATTTAGCTTTTAAAATATTTTGTTTGTTCAAATGAATATCAGGAGATTGTCCAAACACCTGTCTTGTTGCCACGTAACACCACTTTTGAGTTGCAGTACAAAAGTACTTTGAAAGCTGTTCTCCTGTAACTAGTCTTGTTATATACTCATAACTTCACAGATAACATTTAATTATTAATTTTCATTTACATTCTGCAGGTTATCAATGTAATTTGTTTGCACCTAGCAGTAGATCAAATGAATAATGTAGCTTTCTGTATTTTAAGAACTTATTTACAGGCTTTTGTATCTTGTATGTTGAAAAATAACAATGGGTTCTTTAGAATTTAGTATTTTGTAGTACTGCCTATGGTATGATACTTTTTGACGTACATAGGACTGAAGAATGCAGGCTTAGTGACACATGAAAGTCAGACATTTTGGTCATAACTGTACACATTTGTATTGTGTCTAGTGTGCAGGTAATGCTGGGTTAATACTGAACAGGGATTTTATCCTTTAAGGAAGAGAAAATAGTACACTAAAATTATACACATTAATGTTCAGGTATAATCCTTTGTAAGAGAACCAATTTAAGAACAAAGACACCCTTACTGAGTTCTGCAGAAATATAATACTGTGCTTCCTGGGTTTCTGAGTCACACTAATAGGCCTTACCAATGCTGCCTGGAATTGGGATTTTGTTGTATATGTGATGCCTAGGGCAATTTCTTTAGCTTGCGTTTAACAGGCAGTCAGGCTAGTCACTGAACAGGAAAGCGGAGAAACAACAAATAGACTAGTAGCACCTTAAAGACTAACATTTACTACTAGTTTAATACTAACATTTGCTTTTAGTCTATCTGTTTAAGTTTTTCCTGTTACAGACTAACTCTGCTACTACTCTGAAGGAAAGTGAAGGTTTACGCTCTATTTAAAATTGTTACTTCTCAAAGTGCCCATTGATTAGAAGTACCTTGGAGGCATTCTGACTTTGCACTGCAGTTAAATGTTGGCATATTGAGGACCTGTGCACTACGTCTGTGCCCAACATTCTATAGCTATGTGGATTTAAGATGATCTCACATAAATTATTTATTTCTCTTAAGGAAAAGTCTGTTTAGTTGCATCATACTGCATAAGAAATGAGTCTAAAGCAACAGTCCAATTTCTTTGTAATCTAGCAACTGACTAGCCACAAATGTTAGTTTTATTGTGTTGGCACTTATCATAATGAATTAATGCGGATGTCTCCTGATTGCACTCTGCCAGGCATAGCAGTGATGCATTTTTCCTGGAAATCCTAAAGGTCATGGTTCCAAAATACAGCCCTAAACCCATAGCTTTTTCAAGTGAGTGTTCTTAAAATAGAGGCAAACCCATAAAACAGTGTTTAGTGTGTTAGATGTGTGCTTTTCTTACCTTCGGCATGTGCTATAGAATCACATTTTTATTGTTCTTAGATCTTTCTTGCAAAATCCTGTTTAATGATCTGAAGCTGAAAAAAAAAATCTTTTGCATTTCTCTCATTTAGCAGGCTTCAACTACAGAAGTACAAATTGGACCCATGAGACTGACACAAGATCCTGTACAGGTAGGACTTTGTTTCAATGTGGTGCTACTGTAAATTCTGTGAGGAGGTGTGAAGGAATTAAAGCTCAATCCAGGAGTAACTCTTAAAGTTATTGCTGTGTAGAAAGAAATAGAATAGAATGCACATCAGTATTGTTAAATTACGTCTCCTTGAAGCAATGTTGAAGCTCAACAGTATGTACAATAGCATGGTGCAGGCAGTATCTAGCAAGAGTATTATAAGGCTTTGAGTAACTTTTCTTCCATTTGAAATGCAACTATAGACTAGGCAAATTCTCCAGGGGAAAAAAATCTGTCTCTTTGCTTGATAGTAAAGAAGGTTTGTGTGGGAAAGGCAGCATAAATTCTGCTGCTGAAAGTTTTTTCAGGGGCTGGAAAGTAGGGTCTTTCTGTTCTTGGAGCCAAAACCACATAAGCAGATTTGGAGCTAGATATCTGAAACCAATTCCTGCAAAATGTAGGGAAGGTTTAGACTTGAGCATTTCCAATTTTTGGCTACCTTGAGGAAGAAAATATGAATTATAAAGTTTTTAACATGGTGATTTTCATTTCTCAGCATTTTATAGAGGTAAGAAACCATTCTGTCTAGCTAGTATCTTTATTACCAATAATGCTGCTTTTATAGGAGACAAGCAAAGACCAGAATCCTGAAAACTGTTACACTTCGTGATTGTCCTGAAACTTACTGTGCCCATATGTTAAATGAAGTACCTGAAGTTTGAGGAAAGCCGTTACATTCTGCTAACGTCTCATAACATGTAAAAAACCCGCTCTTATTTATCCAACCAGGAAAGAATAATTCATAACTTTTATGGGCAAATAAACTTCCTTGCTTTTTGTACCTGTTGCAGCATTAAACCAACAGTTCTCATGGGTAACATGTTGGAGTACCTGGCTAGATAGCTATAGAAAGTTCCTCACTAGTAAAAGTTGCTCAGGCAGGAACTAGCAGTTTAATTGAAATGGCAATTGTGCATTGTGACCATAATGTGTTCAGGACTGAACAACAGTGCCAGAATGAACGTAATGAACTTTTTGATCACTTTGGAGAGCTCGTTTCTTCAAGTAAGCAATTTCTTTGGCTCACCTACAAGCTTGGGAAGAAACCAAAGCATGTGAAAGCACTCAGAGCCCTGGTCTACACTAGGGCATTATTTTGAAATAACCCCCTTTTGGTCGAATTTATAAGTAGTGTGTCCACGTTACCAAGCCTGTTGTTTTGAAATAATGGGCCGCGTATTTAGAAATCTGTACTCCTGCTTTTCCCAGGGAGTAATTCTAATTCCAAAATAGTTATTTCCAAATAGAAGTATTGTGGACATTCTGGTACCACTATTTCAAAATGACTACTCCCCAGAATAATTTGAACAAATTACTGCCCATTGCTTCCTGGGGCTCTAAGTTGAGGTAATGCGTCCACTTTAATGGAGCCTCCCTCAGATTAATTTCAAGGCTTCCCCATAGTGGGGACATGCTATTTTGTAAAATTGAGAGTTAAATTGAATTTAGTTATTTCAAAATTTCCTACTGTAGACATGCCCAGAGAGGCCACTAAAATAGAATCATTTCTGTCACTAGTTTCTGTTAACTAGAAACTCTTTTTCTGAGTGTTGCAGAATTTTCAGTCCTGATACAGTGTTGTAAAAGGCTCCATTAGTGAGTTAAAAGGGGCCATTGAGTCACTCCCTTTGCAGGAGAGCAAATAGGGCAAAGTGTTATGGTTGGACAGGTTAAATTACAAGCTATCAAGAGCCCTAGCAATAGTGACTGAACTGTGGCTCCGCATAGAATATTAGAACTGGAAGGGTCCTTGAGAGGCATCAATTCCAGTCTAGGCTTGTGAAGGACTAGTCGACTAGCCG